CCGCCACTTCGATGCTTGTGTTTTTTGTGCTCCCGATGCCGCGGCGCCTGCTCAGCGGAGCTCCCGGTGCCGGCCGCCGCCGTAGTTCCGGCTGCCTCTTTCTCTCCGCGGTGCTTCTTTGACGACCCCATTGTGGCAAGTCGGCTTGGAGCGGGGCCGCCGCGGAGACCCGACGACGCAAAATGGGAACACTTCCGGGGTACAAGGCAGCCGCGATCCTGTTGCCGGAAGCCAAGAGCGGCTGCTTCCGTGGTTAGACCCTTTCCCAAGGTCTCATGGGAAGGCCAGGATTGGAAGCCGATGCGCAAGCGTAGTCGTCTCTCGCTGAGGGGCAGTCTCTGAACCTAGTCTTCTGCTCAGAGTTGGACTTTTCGCGTGTAGGGTAGTCGTGAATCGTGAATTCCAGAGCTCTCAAGGGCCCGGGGGGGGGGGGGAAAGACCTAGGAGACTTGTAAATCAGCGTCCTCGGAACTGAGCGCCCCTCCCCGACACTCCGCGAGGTGCTCAGTTCTTCCTGTTCTTTCCGTGTACGGCTCCCCCATTTACAAAGAGCGCTCTTCTGGTGGGCGTTCTAGGGTCGTGGCTGTATAGGTTGTCGAATGAGGCGGCACGTTTTCTTCTACCTCGAGACCCCCCACACACACACACATAGCTGCACAGCCCAGCCTCGAATCCGCCCCCATAATTAGTACTATCAGTGCACGCTGCTCTCCCACATTTCCTGGATTGGGTTTATTTAACCTGTACACTGTTAAGGAGGTCGAGATGAGCTTATGTGTACTATGAGCCTGTGAATTGAATGCAAAATTCGACTCCCCAGTGTATGTGCGCTTTTTTCTTCGCTTTCATATATTCTCTCTCCCTCTCTCTCCCCCCTCCTTCCTCCCACTCCCTGAGGTGCTTTAAAATTATTGGGACGAAGGTCGAGGGTCGGGGGTTTTAGCTCAGTGGTGCCATCTACCTTGCAAGCGCAAGGTCCCGAGTTCGATCCCCGGTACCAAAAGAATATATTAGGGGCTGGGATTTAGCTCAGTGGTGCCACCGCCTGCCTCACAAGCACAAGGACCAGATTTCGATACCCGGTACCCCAAAAATAAAGAATAAAATTATTGGGACTTAACAAGCCCGGTTCAAAATCTGACATCCCCACCCAAAAACTGCTCCATCTGTGGGCTCCCTGTGAGACACATCTCAGCATGTTAGGATGTGTTCTGTGTACTCCTTATGCCCTCACCCACAGTACTGGGCATCCATAAAGGCAGAGGTCAGTCTGTCATGTTCACTCTTGAGTTTCTAGATCTTAGCATATTTGTTGGAGACGGAAGTCTCAGTTGTTGCTTTTCAAACTGCCCCACTCACTGGGTGAAGTGACACACACCTGTAATCCCAGCATGGAGGATGCAGGAGGGGCGCCTCAAATTCAAGGTGAGCCTGGGCTGCATAGCAAGACCCTGTCTCAAAAATACAAAAAATACAAAACAAACAAAAAAGTACACTACACCTCAGGAGCAGAGACCGAGCTGTGTATGCTGGGTGGAGGGCAGCCAGAAAGCCAGAGCTCCTAGGGGATAGGGGATAGCGTTAAACCTACTGCCACAACATTTGACACCTCCTATTCCCAACCCACGCAGTTCCTCCGCACCTCAGAAATCTCACGTGATATTTGACACAACGCGTTTTAATTTTTGTCTTGATTATTCTCTGGGTCCAGGCTGGGGGAGGAGCGTCTGTCAGGCTGGCTGCTGATGGGTTTGGTCCTTGGAGGGCTCTGAGAAGAGGGCTTCATTCTCACCCCCATTGATCTGTGGCTCCTTAAAGACACGATGGAAACCAGTGGGCTTTGCAGCTCCTCACTCCATGACTAAGGAAACCACCGACCCCATACATTCAAATCCAGCTCCTACTCTGGCTCACTGTGTGGCCTGGGCAAGTGACTTCCCTTCCTTGAGCTTCATTTTCCTTCTTGCAAAGTGGGCTTTGTTATCCCTGTGGTGCACCCTGATATTCTACAGTGTAAGGGACAGTATACATGAGGTGACTAACATGGCCCCAGCCACTAATGGTTTGGTGTGCAGCCACTGGATGGCCACAGACCCCTAGCCTGGCTCAGCTGCTTATTCATTCTGTAAGAAAAGCCCTGCCCCTCAGGGTCTTCCAATTTCCCATGGGGAAGTGAGAACAATAACCCCAGCCCCACCTTCCTGCTGAAGGACAGAGGAAACTGTGGAACCCAGAGGCTGGTGCTTGTGCCCCTCAGTAGAGCCAGTCCTTAGCCAGCCAGCCAACTCACCTGCTTTTCCTGGCAGTGCCCTTTGTGTCCCTTTTTCCTGCCTCAGCCAGAAGCTGCTCCTCATCCACTCCCAGTGCTGACAGCACCTGGGAGAAGTGCCTGGTCACAGTGAGCCGGGCGCTGGCCTGAGGAGAGAGAGGAGAGGCTTCCTGCGCTGCACTGGGGCTGCAAGGCCACCTTGAGCTGTGATTTCTGAGAGGGTCTTGGGAGCTCTGCAGCCTCACCTGCATGGCCTGCTGAAATAGGAAGGGCCGGGCCTGCACCCGGTGCTGGATGCCCTGCAACTCTGCCTGGTACTCAGCAAAGCGCTGTCGGTCCTGGCGCCTGTGGGTAAGATGGGCCTCTGGAGAGCTGAGCATGGACCCAACTCACCCCGCATCCAGATTGGCTTCGTCCTTACTATGGAGTTTATTAAAGTCCCTGCTCTGACCTTTACAAGCCATTTAATTTCCATCCTGCCCTGGATTCTTTCCCAGCTCTGCCAGCATTGGTATAATTTGGCCCATTTTCCTGGGGGCTCAGGAATGCTGAGGGATTTGTCCAAGGATGAGCATCTGAGAAATGGGACCTGATCCATGAGGCCCAGTCTAGGCTGTGCAGCCACAGTCGAAGGTCCCCCCAGCCATCCCCAGAGAAGAAAACCAGCACTGCTTGCACAGCCTTCCCCTCCCTGCAGTTTGCCCCCCTGCTCCCCTTCATGCTACAGTTCTGAGGAGGGCACTGTGGTTGCTGGCTGTGTGATTTTGAGGCCTTTTTCTGGGCTCTGGGTTGTTCTCTTTGCTGTGTTCTAACAGACCAGACAAGCTTGCCAGTGTTCTCTGGGCTTCTTATAAGCAGGAAGGTTAAGAAATGGGGCAGAGTAACCAAAAAATGTGTTACAAATGAAGAACACATCCTGGAGGGTCTGAGTTCCGCTGGGGAAGCAGTTTCCATTTATAGGAACCCAGTCTGTGCATTTGTCAGAAATGTGACTGCTACCCTGGACACAGTGGCATGCACACTTGCAATCCCAGTGCTCAGGAGGCTGAGGCAGGAAGAGCACTGAGAATTTCAGGCCAGCCTGGGACGCAGAGTGAATTCAAGTCCAGCCTGGACTACATAGCAGAACCTTGTCTTAGAAGAAGGGGAAGGGGAAGAGGAAGGAGACGGGGAAGGGGAAAGGGAAAGAAATGCAGTTGCTCAACTAGCTGAGTGACTGCTTTAATAAAGACAGCAAAGGGCCCTTTGGCCACACCCTACACAAGACCAGGTGTCCTTTGGTAAAGCATAAGAGACTGGCCGCAAGCTGTGGTGTGGTGTTCCCCGAGGGCAGACAGGGCAGTCAGTGAGACTTGAGTTATGCTGGGCCCTGTGGCCAGGTGCTGGGCAGCAACCTTCCCCCATGAAGAAAAAGATGTGGGAACCCATTGCCAGGAACACAAATTCCTGTAAAAAAGGGTTTTCACCACTCCAAGACGTATTCACGGGAGTTACAGGTATTACATGGGGTGGGACACATGTCACAAGCTGCTATTAATAATTTCCCATGATGTTGTGTGCTCCTTGCTTTCTCTTTCTCTTTCTCTTTCTCTCCCCCCACCCTTTCTTGCTGTTTGTTGAGATTTTTGAGATAGGGTCTCACTATGCACTCCCACCAGGCCTTGAACTCACTATGTACCCTAGGCTGGCCTCCAACTCACAGTGATCCTCCTGCCTTAGCCTGCTAAGTTCTAGGATTACAGATGTGCTCCACCATGCCTGGCTGCCTGTTAGGAATATAAAATTTTTAAAAATCTGGCCGGACATGGTGGCACATTCCTGTAATCCTAGCACTCAGGAAGCTGAGGCAGGAGCATTGCCGTAAGTCCAAGGCCAGCCTAGGCTACATAATGAGTTCAAGGCTAGCAAGACTTTGTCTTGACAAATTAAAACAAAAAATTGTCTGTGCTGGGAAAGGTGGCACATGCTACAATCCCAGGTAGTTGGGCAGCTGAGGAAGGAGGATTGCAAGTTTGAAGCCAGTCTGGGCAATTTAGTGAGAACTTGTTTGAAATAATATTTTTTTTTTTATACTGGGGATCGAACTCAGGACCTTGCTCTTGTGAGGCAGGTGGTGAAACCGCTGAGCTAAATCCCTGGCCCCTGAAATAAAATTTTTAAAAAGACTGGGGAGCTGAGCATGGTGGTATATGCCCATAATCCTAGAACTCAGGAGGCCGAGGCACCAGGATCGCCATGAGTTCAAGGCCAGACTGGGACACATAGTGAATTCAAAGCCAGCCTGAACTACAAAGTGAGACTGTCTCAAATAAGCCGAAAAGGAGTGGGTGGTTGCTGGGGATGTAGCTCAACACTCCTGAGTTCAATTCCCAATATGAATGAATGACTCACAAATTTACTTTCTAGAAAAGAGGCCAAAATATAAGAAAATGAAACAGACCACTCCACTTGACTGTGCACAACCTTTATCTTCAGGAGTAGGACCATCAGGGATGTCCATGTTCTACATTAAGTAAGTATTCTTTTCTGGTTTGGTTTGGTGGCCTTCGCACAGAAGTACATCTCCAACTTTTTTTTTTTTTTTTAACTTTCAGCCAGAGCCTCTCTAATTTGCCAGGCTGGGGTTGAACTTGTGATCCTCCTGCTCCAGCCTCCCAGAGTACTGGGATTACAGGCATTTGCCACCATGTCCAGTTTACATTATCTATTTCTGTAATATTTAAATTTTATAATAAACCTGTCTGGCTTTGGAAATCAGAGAAACAAGATTTGAAAAAGTGACATGTGCAGAATGTTTTAACCTTTCGTGTTCATCAGTGGAAGGGGTTATTGCTATTAACTGGGTAACCTTAAATCAGCCCTTCCCCCTGGACATCTTTAACTGTAAATGTGACCAAGTGGCTTGGCTGGCTTGCCTTAGGGTCCTGCAGCCCAATGCCTAGCGCTGCCTCCCCAACTCACCCCACTAGGCCCTCCAAAGCCTGGCACTCCTACCTCAGTTCCTCCAGCTTGCGCTGGGTGGCCCAGGCCCCCTGGCTCCTTCGGGGCACATAGGCAGCCAGACAGCGAGCCACCTGCTGTTGAATGTGCTGCTCCCGGGCCCTGCGCAGCTCAGCCTGCTGCAGGTCCTCCTGCTGCTGCCGCTCCCAGGCCTGCAGCAGGCTCCTGGTTGGGAGAGGGGAGAAGTCTGTAGGAACAGGAGCCTGGAGGAGAGCAAGCAACCAGGGAGGGGAATATAGGAGCCTGAGAAGGGTTCTTGGGAAATTTTCCTTAGAAAGCAGCTTTCCTTGAAGGTGGTCACCAGATCTTTCCCAGGATTGAACTCAGGACCTTGTGCTTGTGAGGCAGGCGCGGGCTACATCCCTGGCCCCTTGACAGATCTGCAATACTCTTCTTTTGATCTCATGGCCAATTGCTTCTTATCAATCAGATGTGTATTAAATAGCTTTCTCCTAGGGCCTGGGATTTGACTCAGTGGTTCCACCGTCTGCCTTGTAAGTGCAAGGACCCTAGTTCGATCCCTGGTACCAAAAAAAAAATAGCTTTCTCCTAGACAGACTTACCCTGAACACCCCATCTACTTCCTATCTTATCTCCCATCTCTAGCTACATATGTTGTTCTTTTCCTTTGTTTATATTTTGAGACAGGGTCTCACTACATAGATCAGGCTGGCCTTGAACTCACTATGTAGCCCAGCCTGATCTTAATGAGACCCTGTCTGGGAAAAAAAAAAAGATACTAAAATGAAAAATAAAAGACAAAGTACAAGTCAGGCGTGATGGCACATGACTGTAATCCCAGCAGGCTGAGGCTGAGGCAGGACAATTACAAATTCAACCCCAGCCTCACAATTTAGCAGTTTAAGAGAGAGATTCTACCTCAGAATAAAAGGAACTGGTAAAGTGCTTGTAGATGGGGAGGGGAGGAGGGAGGAAAAATGAGAATCAAGACTTGTCATGTAGAGGTACAAGATCCCAACAATGAATGTAACTGTACTGTATCCCTAAAATGTACCAATAAACTCAAAGCTGAAAAAAAAAAAAGAATAAAAGGAACTGGGTACTCAGCTATAAAGAATGAGAAATTAAATTCATTCATAGGAAAATGGATACACATTGAGGTATACTCCTCAGTGAAATAAGTAAGTCACACATGTAAATACCAAAAATGGATACATATTGAGGATATACTCCTAAGTGGAATAAGTCACACATGTGTAAATACCGTTTCTCTGGTATGAATAAACTATAATAGTACATAAGATCCTAATGAGATAATTGACAATGTGAAATAGGAAGAAAAGGGCTAAAGGTGTAGGGAAAGTGGGAAGGGTAGGGGAAAGGAAATAAGGGAGAGGAAAAAAATAGGAGAAAATGGAAAAATGGAAATAAAGTGTTTGTAAATCAGGAGGAAAGGAAGGGGTGAAGGGAAGGCAGGGACAAGGGGAAAAAATGAGAACCAAGAACTGTTATATAAAGGTACAAGATCCCAATAATGAATGTAACTGTACTGTTTATCTGAAATGTACCAATAAACTCAATGAGGAAAAAAAAAGGGAACTGGGGATGTAGCTCAGTGAAAAGGCCCTGAATTCAATCCCTAGTACTGTGGGGAGTGGGACGGTAGATCACACTACCCCCAGATAATCAGATTTAATGTAATTTATCAAAATTCCAATTATATTTCTACAGAAAGAAAAATAATTCTAATGTTCATATGGAACCACAAAAGCCTCTAAAGAGCCAAAGCACTCTTCTTTTGGGGCACTGGAGATTAACTCCAGGGCCTTTGCAATGAACTACATCTCCATCCCCTCCTTAAAATTTTTTTTACTTTGATATAGTGTCTTACTAAGTCACTAGTGAATTTATGATCTTCCTGCCTCAGCCTCCAAAAGAGCTAGGATTACAGGTGTGCAGCACCTTGCCCAACTGAACTGAACCAATCTTAAGAGGGGAAGAGACTCTGCAAGCATCATACTATCTGATTTCAATATTAGTACATGTGCTGCCAAAGCCAGGACTATGCTATTTGATTTCAAAATATACTACAGTGCTACAGTAATAAAAACAACATGGTACTGGGATAAAAATAGACATATAAACCAGCAGAACAGACTACAGATCCCAGAAATAAATTTCTGCACTTATGGCCAAGTGACTTTTGACAGAGATGTCAAGAACACAATGAGGAAAGGATAGTTCCTTCAATATATGGTGCACAATCACCCAGCTAATAGGTTAATGGATAAACAGAGGAAAAGATGGGAAATGAATAGAAAGTAGTTTGTGTCAATAGATAGTTGGCAGGGGCTGGGGATTTAGCTCAGTGTTTCCACCGTCTGCCTTACAAGCACAAGGACCCAAGTTTGATCCCCAGTACCAAAAAAGATAAATAGATAGATAGATAGATAGATAGATAGATAGTTGGCCAAATAGGCAGAGATGGATGGGTCATTGAGTAGATGTCAAAAGATAGAGGGATGGGTGGATGGATGGATTGGGGGGGACTGGGTAGGTGGGTAGCTGGACCCATGAAGGAATAGGTGGGTTGGTGGGTGGATGGGTAGGTGGATTAATAGATGATTGATTAGTCAGAAAAGTTGATGAATAGATAAAGAATAGAGTGAATGAATGTATAATGGCTGTTTTGGTGAACTGGCTCCATCTCCATTTCTCATCCTTAACTCCTACCCTCCTGTCCCCCGTCCCCCCTTACCTAGTGGCCTCCTGTCGCTTGTGGAATGAACGATTAGGAAAGTTGGCAGACAAGAAAATGTCATCATGTCTGCAGGCGCGGGACTTCCCTCTCCAGTTGGAGGTCTGCACAGAAGCCTGCCGCAGTGCCCTCCAGGGCTGCTTTTGGGGGTCTGTCCACAGTGGGAGCAAGTAAGTCAGAGAGACCTTCTCACCTGGCCCATAGGGGAGGCCCACCCAGCCCCCATTCAGCCTGGCCCATGGTAAATGCCCTGCTGAGGAGCCCAGCCCGCCGCTGCGCTCATCACAGCAGCCTTGCTGGAACTGCTGGTGCGTTTGCCCAGTACCCAGGGCCCCTCCAGCTCCTGGGCCCTTGACTTGCCCCTCTGCAGCCCTTGGGGGTTGTGGGAGCAGGAGCTGCTCGCCTGCAGCTCCTCCTCTTCCAAGGCCTCCACTCCAGAATTTGGCCCCTTTTTCCGAGAACCACTCTTTCTTCTGTGAGAGGTGCTGTGCTCCTGCTCTTCTGCTTCCACAGTCATCTCTGAGAAGTGCTGCTCCTCCAAGAGCGACCATCCAGCGGGCAGCTGGGGCCGCTCCCTGGGGCTCAGCAGGGAGCCTGTGTCTTCAGCACCTGTACCTTCCAGCTTGGGAGCCTCTCTGGACTCTGATCCTGATCCTGACCTCTTGCCTGGCAGCCGGGGGCTGAACTCACTGGATGTCTCCAGCCCTTGGTTCTCCCCTTTGCTGGGAGACATGGGGGCACCACCGCAAGGCCCTAGCTGCTGTCTCCTCTCCAGGGCCTCTGGGAGGCTGGCAGTGGACTTGCACCTGGATTTAAGCTGGGGGACCCCTGGGAACAGGGGCAGGGCTTGATGACCCAGGGCCGCAGGGGAGCTTGGCTGAAACAGAGCCCGGCCGTCTGTGATGAAGCTCTCCCAGGCCCACTGGAATGGGAAGGAGGGTTCCCGAGGAGGACGGGGTAAGGGACTGAGGAGGAAGAGGGCAGGGGTCAGAATTAGGGGCAGGTTCTCCTGGCCCCCAGCTTCCCTCCCAGCTCATGCCCAGATGCTCACTTCTCAGCCTCAGTGGAACTTCCTTTCTTGGTCCACCTCCGGGGCTTGCAGTCCTTCTTTGTCTTCTGCCCTGCGCTCTGAGACCTCTTTGGCTGGCCCTGACTTGGTACATCACCATTCCCCAGGGCACTCTAGGCAAGCACAGAAGAGGAGGTCTGGTGTGAGCAGCCATTTGGACCACTCTGACCTCCCCAGGGCCCTCTTCATCACTAAGACTCATCAGTCACTACTGCCTCCATTCCTCATAGCAAAAGCTACCCCAACCGAGCACTCCCCTGTGTGCAGGATCTTCGGGCACTAACACATTTAATCTTCTCAAGGACCTGTCCAGTGAGATGGAGTCTATCTCTATCACCCCCATCATATAAATTTGCAAACGGAGGCTCAGAGAGGTCCAAGAAGCCAAGTATGGTGGCAAGTTCAAGACCAGCTTGGGCTACCCAGCAAGTTCACTGCCACCTTGAACTACATGGGGAGACCTTGTCTCAAAAAAAGTCCAAGAATTGAGGTCATGCAGTTGGTAATGACCTGCACATTGGTCCTGGTCTTCAGAGCCATTGCACAGGGCTACAAGCGAGGAGTTTGAAGGTTCTCAACACAAAGAGATGTTAAATGTTTAAAGACATGGAAATGTTAATTACCTTGATTTTTTTTTATCATTGTACTGTATATATGTATCAAATTATCATACCATACCCCATAGTATGTACAATTATCATGTGTCAATTAAAAATTTTTAAATTTAGCTTGACATGATGGCCCAGGCCTGTAATCCCAGAACTCTGGGAAGCTGAGTCAGGATGATCACAAGTTTGAGCCGAGCCTGGGCAACTTAGTGAGACCCTGTCTCAAAATTAATTTATTTTACATTTATTTATTTAAGAGTTTGTTGTTGTTGTTGTTTGTTTTGAGACAGGGTCGCATTGTGTAGTCCAGGCTGGTGTGAACTCACTATGTAGCCCTGGCTGGCCTCAATTCACAGTAATCCTCCTGCCTCAGCCTCCTGAATGCTGGAATTACAGGCATGTGCCACCACAACTAGCAATAAATTAATTAATTTTTAAAAAGGGGTGGTGATCTAGATGAGTATGAAGGCCCTGGGTTCAATCTCTAGTATAAAACAAAGATTAAAGAAAATTTTTTTTCTAATACTGGGGATTGAACTCAGGACATTGTGCTTGCAAGGCAGGCATGCTGCCACTGCAGTAAATCTCCAGCCAAAAGATAAAATTTTTTAGATAAATAATTTCTATTTTGAGACAGTGTCTCACTTTGTAGTTCAGGCTGGCCTCCAACTCACTATGTAGCCCAGTTTGGCCTAGAACTCTCATCGATCCTCCTGCTTCAGCCTCTCATGAGTGCTGGGATTACAGGTGAGCACCACCATGCCTGGCTAGATAAATAAATTTATGTTTTTTGGGTTTTTTTGGTATTGGGGATTGAACTCGAGTCCTAGTGCTTGCAAGGCAGATGGCAGAACCACTGAGCTAAATCCCCAGCCCTAGATAAATAAATTTAAAAATGAGAATCAGTCAAGAAAAAAAAACAAAACATTTAGGTTAAAAAAAAATGGACATCTCTAAATGTCCTGCAGGGCTCTGGACTTGCTACAGCCAAAGTGGAAGGCCCTGATTTTCCCTCTGAAAACCCTTTCAGCCCTCCAGTGTGCCCTAAATCACTCCATCCTTCCTCATCTTTACTCCCCATCTTCCAGGCTTCCTTACTATTTCTGTCCCAGGCGGCCTCCCTGACTGTCACCTTGTGGCTTCTCAAGTACCTCCCCCTGCCCCTGCCTTCACCTGCTCCGCCTGGGGGATCCTCGACAGAAGGTTGAGCAGCCCCATAGATGTTCCTGGAGCCTGAGGCCTCAGGTCCTGCCTGGCTCCTCCTGATGTGGTCCTGACCAACTGCTGCTGGGTGTTTAGCATATTGGTATCCTGCCCCATCCCCCCAGCTCTACCTGCCAGCCCTGGAACTGTTCTGTGAGGCCATCTCTATGGCAACTGGTCCCCAGCCAGTCTCAAGGAATCTGGCAAAAAGCGGGACAGGTGAGGATCAGCCAGGTAAGGAAAGCTGACTTCCTTCCGGGAAGAGAGAGTTCAGTACGATTCCAGGAACAGTCAGGCCTGGCAATCTAGAGATCCAGGGCCATGTCCTGGCTCTGCTGCTGACCCCTACGCAACTTGGTGTAAGCCCTCCACCCTCACTTGGCCTATGTTTCCCCATCTCTCTTGTTTTGTTTTGTTTGGTTTGGTTTTTTGAGACAGGGTCTCACTATGTAATTGAGACTGACCTGGAACTCACTATGTAGCCAGGCTGGTCTCGAACTCACAGTGATCCTCCTGCCTCAGGCTCCCAAGTGCTGGGATTACAGGCATGCACCACCACACCCGGCTATCACCATGTCTCTTTTGAAAGAGACTGTGCAGCTCAGCCTTCTTGAAGGGTCCTTAGATCCAGCAAAGATGCCCAGCTGGAGCCTGCAGGAGGCCCTGTCCTTGTGCCTGCCCCAGCCCTGCCTGAGGCCCTGTGAGAGCAAAACAAAACTCCTGAGAGCTTGTTCAAACTTCCTGCCCTCTAGCCCCTGACAGAATGGGAAAGACCAGGAAGATGAGTGCTATGCCCAGGAGAGGCAAAAGGCAAATCAGGAGGCTCTGGAGGGAACAACAGCATTTCACTCTCATCCACGCTTTCCATTTCTTCTTTCAGCCTTGACAAAAGGTTTGGGGTGCTAAATCCTGATAGTCGCCTGTGCTGACGACTGAGATGGGCTGAGACCAAGGTGGACAGGCAGGGGCTAGCAGAGTGGCTGGCTGCGGTAGCTTGGCCATCTCTTCTCCTCTCATGAATTCAGGTCGTACATTTGCTTCAAGGACTAAAGGAAATCGCAAAAGCAATGCACTTGATAAATGTTTGTTGCTATGATGATCACTAATAACTGACTAATTTAGAGGCAGCAGAGCATCATTCTTGAAGTGCAGGAGAAGCACTTGGGTTCAAATCCCAGATCTTACACCTACATATCTGTCCTTCTCAGTCCTGTCCAGCATCCCACAGGCAATGGGGGCTTGGTTACAATATCTTCAAGGGCCACTATGAAGACTAAGCCAGTTAAAAACTTGTGTGCATGTGTGTTTTGGGTTTTTGTGGTATCAGGGTGCTCTGCTGCCATTGAGCTACATCCCTGTGTTTTTTGTTTTGTTTTGAGATAGGGTCCCTCAATTGCCTTTAAGGTGTTTATCTCAGATATTTTGCCACAGTGATCAAAGCTAACTAACACATATCTTGAACTCTAATCATAGTTACTCAATTACCTAACCTAAAAATACATTGAAATAAATTTCATAATTATTAACTCCATATTTATAAAAACCCTGACTAAGTTAAGATCAATTTGTATTGACTGTTGTTTTATTTAGAATATAGAGTCAGGGCCAGGGATTTAGCTCAGTGGTTCTGGCGCCTGCCTCACAAGTGCAAGGACCTGAGTTTGATCCCTGGTACCCCCAAAAAAAACCAAACAAAAACAGAAAATACCCCAAATACTCAAGGACATAGAATATACAAACTGCCATGTTCAAAACCAAATTAGAATGCTAAAATCCCTCTTCTTCAGTGTGATTAGCCCGCTCATTTAAAATGCATTCATTTGCTTGTATTTGTAGTCTATATTGAATTTCCCTATTCTTGTTTATTTCGTTTTTGAAAATGTAAAATGAAAAGAAATAACTCAAAACTGTACAGAAAGTCAAAATTATAGAAAAATAGAACAGAACATGTATCTACCTCAACTTCCAACCCTTTCTCCCATTGTATTCTGATCTACATCTTGACATAGATTCAATCTTAATTCTCCTTTTCCTTCCTTTTAACCTCTTCCTCCTAGTTTGTTGGCTCCTTCTCTCCCCGCCACTCCCTCTTCCTCTTTTTTCCGTTTCTTCTTTCTTATTCCTTCTCCTCCTTTTCTCCTTTACTCTTCCTCCTCCCTCCTTGCTGCTGCTTATTCTTCTGCTTCTTTTCCTTCTCCTTCTCTTGTAATCCAAAATTTGCATAGTAGCATGTTAATCCATTTTGTGTATATCTACTGTACTATATATAGTTCAACCAAACTTAAAGTTATGCATTTTTTTTGTTTTTGAAACAGAGTCTCACTATGTAGTTCAGGCTGGCTCTAAACTTACTGTGTAGCCCAGACTGGCCTCAAACTCACAGTGATCCTCCTGCCTCAGCCTCCCAAGTGCTGAGATAATAGGCATGTGCCACCACACCCAGAAAACTTATGAAAACTTACAGGGTTACCAATATATTACTTTTTTTTTTTTTTTCTGGTACCAGGGATCTAACTCAGGACCTTGTGCTTGCTAGGCAGGCATGGCATTGCTGAGCTACATCCCCAGCCCAATACTGGAATAAGTAGCTTAGTTCATACAATTTTTTTTTGGTACCGGACATTGAACTTGGGTCCTTGCACTTGCAAGGCAGGTGACAGAACCACTGAGCTAAATCCCTGGCCCAGTTCATACATATTTTGTTAGGCAAACCTTTAGAGAAAACTCCCAGAAACAGGTATGTCACAAATTTCTCAGTCATCTCTTGGTCAATTGAAGCCTAAATCCAGGAAACTCAACAAGAAAATTTTCAGAGTAGAGCATTCCCTGAATCACTGCATCACCTGGTTCAATTTCACTATATTCTTAGAAGATACTTTCAAGCAACAGGTCTTTAATTTTTAGAAGACTTTTATTATATATTACGTTATTCATCACATAATTTTGCATCATTTTACATAAGAGTTTTTGTCCCTTTGCTTTGCTGCCTTTCTTCAGGTATTCCTGGAGCCCTGGGATGCTAGTAGTGTGGCTTAGGCCAAGTTGAGAAGGCCAATGTTGTAATTCTTGGGCTACAAACGAAAGCCTGAGAGCCCAGGACCCACTGAGGTAAGTCTGAAGGCCTGGAATTCTGATGTCCAAGACGGTAGAAGCAAAATATGCCCAACCCTGAGCAAGGCCGGTTTGCCTTATTCCAGCCAGCTGGTGCTCACCCACTCTGAGGGCAGATTCCCCACCACACACATCCTGCAGAAGCCTCAGACTCGTACGCTCATCTCCTCAGAAATACCCTTGCTGTGTGTGTTCCTTAACCCAGTGAAGCTGAGACCCAAAATAAAACATCACAGAACCCATTTTGTCACTCTTGAAACCCTCTTCTGCTTTTTTTTTTCCTTGCTATGCTATTCAGGCAGGCCTTGAATTCACTATGTAGCCCAGGCTGCCCTTGAACTTATGAAGATCCTCTTGCCTCAACTTCCCAATTGCTGGCCCTTATTAGTTCTTGAAACCCAAATCTGCCAAGGGTGGATTTGAAGGAGAAAGTCGTTAATAACTTTGATTTGGAAAGGGCTGCTGTTCTGCTGAGGCTCTGGGCTGGAGCTAGGGAGCTGGCTTCTAATCCCACATTTGGTATAAAGTGCTTCCAGGAGAAGGCTGGCTGCAGTCATCATAGCCCAGCAGGTCAGCAGCACAGAGGGGCCTCACAGTGGAACTGGCCTCTGGTGCTGCTGGTAATGGAAAAATGAGTCCTTCCCAAGGCCTGTGTTTTCCATCACAGGGTGTCCAATACAGTCAGTGGGTCTGTGCGTGCCCATCAGAAGAAAACCACACAAGCTTGAATGGAAGTCCTGCCTGCTTTCCAGAAATGGCATCTAGGAACCCCTAAAAGTACCAATAAGCAGGAGTCAGCTTTCAGCACTGCCACGCAGAAAGTGAGATGCCAAGTCATATTGGCACCAAACAAGCAAACCCTTCCTTCCTTCTTTCCTTCCTTCCAACCTGTTCCCAATAGCTATAGTTGCAACATTCTGGGTTTTAGGAGCAGGGGAAGGAGGTCAAAGACCCCACACACCCAGTTTACTTCCTCATTTATAGGGGCAGAAATGGCCATGGAAGAGGAGAATATGGCATTCTAAATCAAGTTTAGAGATTTGGCCACTACACAAAACTGAGCATTTTATTGGTGTGGGGCATGTTGGATGTGTTTTTGTGTTTGTTTTGTTGGGTTTTGTTTGTTTGTTTGTTGTGTACTGGAGATCGAACTCAGGACCTTGTACTTGGGAGGCAGGCAGTGGCAGCACTGAGATAAATCACTGGCCCTGGGTGTTTTTTGTTTGTTTGTTTGTTTTATTTCTTACTTGTTTGAGACAGGGTGTCTATATGTAGTCCAAGCTGTTTTTGAATTCATGATGTAGCCCAAGGTGGCCTCAAACTCCTGGCAGTCCTTCTGCCTCAGCCTCCCAATGCTTATAGGCATGTACCACCATGCTGGGCTAAAACTGGGCATTTTAGAAGAGAATTGTTGAATGCCTGCTGGTGATCATAATATTGTGGGTCATTTAGGCCCAGGTATAGCTTCCCTTGTTCCCTCTGTCTGCCAAAGATAAACTAAACTGGAGCCTCAGGGCAGAGGTAGGACGGGCCCAGGAGACAGATCAGAGGAATCAGCTGAGGTGAGCTAGGGAAAGGGAAGAGAGAGAGGCCGGGAGGTCATCACACTTGACTGTTTTAACCATTTTAAAGTATGACATTCACTGGCATTGAAGTGCATTTACTTTATTATACAATCATCACCGCTAACCATCTCCAGAACTTTCTTATTGTCCCAAATTGAAATGCAACAATGATCCATTCAACAATGACTTCCATTCCTTCCACTTGGCTGGGGATTTAGCTTAGGGGTTCCTCTCCCTGACTTGAAAGCACAAGGTCCTGAGTTCAGTCCCTGGTACCAAAAACAAAAAGCAAAAAAAAAAAAAGCCATTCCTTCCTCTCCACAGCTACGAGAGGTGTAGCTCAAAGGTAGAATGCTTGCCTAATATACACAATGCCCTGCATTCCATCCCCAGCACTCAAAAACATAAATAAATAAAAATAAATAGAAATAGAAAGAGCTGGGCATGGCGGTACACACCTGTAATTCCAGCACTTAGAGGCTGAGGCAGGAGGATTGCAAGGCCAGTTTGGACTGCATTGTGAGTTCAAGACCAGCCTGAACTTCGCAGAGAGATCTTGTCTGTAAATAAATAAATAATTTTATCAGGCCAGGGATTTAGCTCAGTGGTGCTGCCACCTGCCTCACAAGCTGGAGGACCTGAGTTCAATCCCCAGTACCAAAACAACAACAAAAACACACCTTGAAAAAAATAAATAATTTTTTAAAAGAAAAAGCCCAGTGCAGTGGTACATCCCCATAATCCCTGTTACTGGAGGCTGAGGCAGAAGAGTTGTGAGGTCCAAGCCAGCCTGGGCAATTTAGCAAGACCCTGCCTCAAAATATTTTATTTTATAAAGTGTTTGTAAATGGGAGGGGAGGAGGGAGTGAAGGGAGGGCAGGGACAAGGGGAAAAATAAGAATCAAGACCTATTATGTAAAGGTACAGAATCCCAATGATGAATGTAACTATTTGTATACCTAGATTGTACCAATAACCTCAATAAAAAGGAAAAATATATATATTTTTTATTTTAAGGCTTGGGACTACAATGATGAATAACTATTTGTATACCTAGATTGTACCAATAACCTCAATAAAAAGGAAAAATATATATATTTTTTATTTTAAGGCTTGGGACTATAGCTCAGTGCTAGGGTGCTTGCCTGCCATGTGTGGGGCTCTGTATTCAATCCCCAGTACTACAAAGAGAAAGAAAAAAATGTAAATGGTATTTATACTCCAAGGACTGAGTGTTCAGGCTGAGTGGCAGTGCCCAGAACAAAGCTTCTTATGTAATATTTGACCAACAGAGCTTTGTAAGGGTCATTTACTCCTTACAACAATCCTAGGAGGTGGGGAAAATTATGATGCCCATTTTTATACTAAGGAAACTGAGGCACTGAAGGTTTGGGGTATTTACTCAGACACAGGCTAACAAGGGGGGAGCTAGGATTACAATACAAGGAGCATCACTCAGAAGGCAAATTTTCAACAGGTGCCAGGCTTCCTGGGTGCGGTGGGGGTAGGTCCCCAGGGGAGAGTCTGACACTGGTCAGCTGCCCTGCAAGGTTGACATGACTCCAGATGGAGAGGGAGAAGTAGAACACACAAGACAGAAGCAAAACTAAAAAACAACAACAAAACAAAAAACGGGGAGAGGGAGCCAAACCAACATGAAGGACCAAGACAGGGTCGCAGCAGCTCCAAGGCTGGAAACAGGGACTGCCCCTGAAAGGGTCCCAGGGGCCTGGCCCCACATCTCACTGGCTCCCTCTTTCACAGTGGCCTCTCAGGTTACCAGAGCAAACTGGTAGGCACTCTGGATCCCTCTCTCTCCTATCTCCCTGGGTCTTTGCTTTGACACAACCTGGCATTGTGTATTGTGATTTTCTTAGTGTCTTCCTATCAACTCCTGCCCCAACTGGATATGGCTGTGTCTATCTCTATTCCTGCTCTCCCTGGAGCCTGGAGCAAGGCCAGACACAGAGCTGGTGCCCTGTAAATATTGGTTGAGGACTTAATGAAGAAAATATTTTGATACCTATAAACCCTGCAGGGCTTCCATTTACCCTAACCTTATGAGGCACTGTCCAGAGAATAAATCAGGTTAGTTCATTCTGGAAGACAAGAGGCAATGTCCCTCCCTCTCCTTCTGTCCTCTTCCTCTCTCCCAACCTATCTTCCAGTCACTGATTTCCATACCCATGGGAAACAGGATGTTATGTCTTGTATCAAGTGTCCCCCCAAAGCCTCATGCAGCCATAGGTTGGGAGTGTGGATAATGGAAGCCCCACCCTGGGTGTGGGCAGCACCAATCTACAAGCACACAGCCTGGATAGAACATAGAGAAGGAGAGAAGGAAGGCAGGCTGCCACTGCTCCCTCCTTTGGCTGTTTACTACCTTCCTGCACGCCATACCATGGACTGTTTCTCCTCTGCGATGCCCGTCTGTCATGCTGCCCTGCTTTGGAACTAGACGACTGTGGACTGAAACCTCCACAAACTGTGAGTCAAAATAAACATTTCTTCCTTTAACTTTTGGTGTCAGGTATTTTGTCTCAGCAACATGAAAAGTAATGAAGACACAAGGGCACCATCTTTTGGGTGCTCACCATATGCCAGGCACTGTGCTAGGCATCGAGGTGTCATATCTCAGCTGTCTCCTTTAAGGAGGTATACTTATCTGTAAAATGTCTTACAGATAAGAAAACTGAGGTAAGAGAGCTTAACTCTGTTGGCCAAAGTCACAAAGTAGCAAAAATATACAGGATAGCTGTTTTCTGTACTGCTATGGTTTTTGTTTCTAAGAATAGTGCTGTGCAGTAAATCATGATCCTTTTTTGACTTTTTTAAAAAACCTAATACTAGCATCTGAGCCCTCTCCCTTCTGTACTGTGCTTTTACAGTTCCACAGAGATGGCCACTCAGGCAGCAACCTCTACCCATGCCTAGGACACATCTTTTTTTTAGGTCTCTCAATGTAGTTCAGGCTGGACTTAAACTCTTGGTAATCCTCCTGCCTCAGCCTCCCAAGTGCTGGGATTATTGGCTTCCACCACCACACCCAGCTTATGTCTTTGTGGGGGGGTTTACCCAGAAGGGGATGTACCAGGGAGTACTTTGAGGCCAAACTGCCTTTTGAGACATCCCACTGATTTATACTCCCATAGAGGCAGCACACTTCCTGTAACCCACATCCTCCCCAGCAGCTGGTTTCTCTGACTTTCTGTTCTTGCCAGTCTGATGGGTGTCATGTAGGATCTTGTTTTCCTTTTGATTACTGGCATAGGTGCAGAAGTCCTAGTCCTTGTTCCATTTTTTAAAAAATGACATTTGCACATACTCACACGATAGGAAGGCCGTAACAACTCACCCTGGCACTGGGAACCGGAGGCCACACAGCCCTGCCCATGCC